TGGTACCTACATTTTAGTTGGAAGATTTTCTTTGGTTTGAGGAATCCTTTCCTCTTTCATTGGCATGCCAAGAGGATAGACGACTCTGAAAGACACCTCTTCAGACACACCTGTCATCACACAAGATCAACTTCCGGTTTAAATGACACAAATCCATATTGTGGGGGAAAAATATGTAGTGCCTTAGCTTCACTAACAGCTGAAAAACTTATTTTTAAGACCTCAAAGGCTAGAGGATTCATTGTATGCAGTGTGAACATCTAACACTCTCTTTGTGTCAAATATATACTGTAATAGCTAGGTTAAAAAGTTCTGTATAAAGAATGCATTCTCCCACACAAAGGGCACAGTATTGAGCACTAATTTCCTAATTATTAAAAGTATATATATCTATATCTCTCTATATATATATCTGTGGGTCACTGGTGTCCAGACTTGTATTTCCATTTGCGTTTACTTGAGAAACTTGAATCCTAACAATTGGTAAAATCCCATTGTAATTCCGAAAGCATTTTGACTTTTATTTTCCTGCAGTGAATTGCGTTGTGTAAGATTAGGGCTTTAGAATCTTTATTAGCAAGCTTTGTTTTGTTTACATTATTATTGTTGCTATTGTAACTAGATTTAATTTCTTTTTAGTTGGGGGTTTGACCTAAATAAATCTGGACTGATTGATTGTTTTTCAATACAACTTTGCAAAGAGCTTCCTTCGTCCACAGGTGGCTTTGTTTGATTAAAGTCTACCCTGATAAAAACAGCTGAACTTGTTAAACTTTTTAGCCCCATATAACAGTGCAGGAAAGAGTCATCCAACGATTGTTGTTCAAAAAACCCAGGAAACTACATCCTCTTCTTACCTTCTGTAGCTACAAGGCTAGCGCTCATTACTTGCTTAAAATTAGAATCTCATCATCTCTGTTTGGATGGCTGCCAACTTCCCAAATGCTGAGCAAAATGCTCTGAAAATAAAAAGGAAAACCTATTTATTGAACACTTTATATATGTCAGCGGTGGGGATGGATGGGGATGAGGATGAGGATGTATAAAATCTCATTCGTCTCAACAATGCTATAAAGTGGGTAAGGTCATCAATTTGCAGATGAGGCAACAGACTGAGTTAATGACTTGCCTAGTTCACGATCTGAGAAGTGAGGAATCAGGATCTGTGGGGACCCAGATCGATCAGTCTGATCCAGGATGTTTCATTCACCATGTTTTTCTCTACCCCTAGAATTACTTCCTTTTAAATTCCCTGTTACTGTTGTTGAGATGGAGTTTTGCTCTGTCACCGAGGTTGGAGTGCAGTGGCGCGATCACAGCTCACTGCAGCTTCGACTTCCCAGGCTGAAGTGATTCCCCCAGCTCCGCCTCCCTAAAAAAGAAGTGGAACCACAGGTGTGTGCCACCATGCCCGGCTAATTGTTACTTTATTATATTTTATTTCTGTAGAGCGGTATCTTGCTGTGTTGCCAGGCTAGTCTCAAACTCCTGGGCTCAAACACTCTTCCCTCTTCAGCCTCGGAAACATGCTGGGCATGAGCCCAATCCTTTTAAATACTTGTGTTCTGCTGTCACATGTTCCCTTCATCCTCAGTTATCTCTGGCGGCTCCATGGCCTTCCTAGTCTCACAGCCAGGCAAAATACCTTTTGTCATGCCTTCCCCCCAACCCGGTCTAAATATCACTTTGGACCATTTCATTATCGTCCACTCTCCTCTCATTCTCCAAAGATGCCCAATCTCTAATATTATTTTGGAAAATATTGAGGCTAACAAGGACGAATGCATTTAAATCCTATGACTACCACCGCCCCTTCCTATCTCTAAAGCTCTCCATCTTTAACCTCTCATTTATTCATTGACTACATCATTCATTGTCTTGATTCTTTAATCACTACTTTTATCCTTTTATCTCAGGCTTTACTACTATCTCAACTTTTGTCTCCTGGGAACTTCCACCCTCAAGTACCTCTTAGTTAGTTTCGAACTCTCCAGTTCCAAAGGCTCCTTTCCCCTTCAAATCTCTTCTTCCCCCCATCCCATCTGTCAGTTGGCCCCATTTCTCTCGAACAATGTCAACTCCCTTCTCCCTTCCCCTGGCTAACAGGTTTTCTCTCTTCCTTTACCTAGTCTATCACAACATCTAAATTCCTCAGCCTGGAATTCAAGGTTTCCCACAAACATATCCCATCATATTGTCATAGCCTACCTGTTCAGCTACATCTTCTACTAATTTCTTTGGTTGCCTTATGCACCCATCAAACTGATCCATGGTCATTTTATCTTAACCCATTTCCCCTTCTCTTCTCTACATAGACTTAACAATACCCCATCCGCCTGGAATGCTAATTCTCCTAACCACAAGACTTGTATTCTATTTACCCTTTAAGAAACAGGTCAAATTCTATCCCGTCTAGGATAGCCTTCTCTCATTTCCCCTGCTGGAAAAGGTTTCTTCTCTGCACTTACATAACCCTTGATTTACTTACTGGTTTCTATCTCATAACAGGGATGAATATATCTGACACTCTTACCAATCTGGAAGCATTTTCAGGAAAAAACCATGTTTTACACAACTTTATAAACCCCAAAGAATTTAACAGCATCTAACATGTAGTTGGTATTTAGTAAGTGATTAATTTTTAAAAACTGAAAGAACACTTGCCAAAGAGCAAATTTAGTAATTATAAAATGTCCCCATAAATTTAGTTAGAATATTAATAAACAATTATATTATGAAATATGTAATATGTTATCTAATATGTGAAGTCACAAAATTGTTCCATGAATGAAGGCTGGATGGAAACTATTTTTCTCATACCATAGTCTTTTAGCAATTAGACATGAACTTCCACGCAGTTCTTAGGAAGTTCTTCAAATATTTTTCCAACTTTCAAATTTTAAAGTTTAATTTTCCATCTTTTGTTTTTGGAACACTTTAGTGTTAACTGGTTAAGAAATTCAAGGTAAACTAAAAGCTTTCAGTATTTGTTTACCTTTCAATATATGCTAAGTGTTTACTTGACCAGGTATGAAAAAATGTACTAATTAAGACAAACTCGAGTGTAAAATGTCTTTTTACTTTCTATCAAGAAAATGCTCTCAAAACAAGTGAATAGTGTGTGTCAACAAAGGACCTGTTTAACTTGAGATCGAAGACAGGCTGTTTCAAAGCTCCATTTCACAATCTCTTTAAACTTTAAGTGTGCTATTTATAAAACTTCTTAAAGATGGTATAAAAATAGAGATTTATCAAGAGAGCTATAGTTGGATTCCTAAAGTTGCTTACGCTTTTTTTTTTTTGAGATGGTATCTCACTCTGTCACCCAGGCTAGAGTGTAGTGGCACGATCTCAGCTCACTGCAACCTCCTGGGTTCATGTGATTCTCATGCTTCAGCCTCCTGAGTAGCTGGGATTACAGGTGCTGGCCAACATTCCTGGCTAATTTTTGTATTTTTAGTAGAGAAGGGGTTTTACCATGTTGGCCTGCCTAGTCTTAAACTCCTGACCTCAGTGATCCACCTACCTCAGCCTCCCAAAGTGCTGGGATTACAGGTGTGAGCCACTGTGCCCAGCCAACTTCTTAATTTTTCATTCTCAAAATTTCTTTCCAAATATTTACTACTGAATTTAACTGTTGAAGTTACTGTAGGTTAAGAAACATTTTTTTCTAAATTTTACGACAACATATACCAAAGAGAATGAATAAAATTTTATAAAGATGATACATTCATGTAACAGGATGTTAAATGGGACTTTCTCTGTTGCCCAAAGACTAAAAACAAGTATCCCACTTTCTAGGGAAAATGAAGGCTAGACACAGTGGCTCACAGCTGTAATCCAAGCACTTTGGGAGGTTGAGATGGGAGGATCATTTGAATCTAGAAGTTCAAGAACAGCGTGGACAACACAGTGAGACTATCTCTACAAAACCTGTAGATCTTTCAAAAAGGTATTCCCTAGCAGGTTCTGCCTTCAGCTACAGCATGCCATAATAAAAATTTATTCCCTTTGGGCCGGGCGCAGTGGCTCACGCCTATAATCCCAGCACTTTGAGGGGCTGAGGCAGGCGGATCACCTGAGGTCAGTCAGGAGTTTCAAGACCAGCCTGGCCAACATGGTGAAAACCCATCTCTACTAAGAATACAAAAAATTGGCCAGGCATGGTGTCCACCTGTAGTTCCAGCTACTCGGGAGGCTGAGGCAGAAGAACTGTTTGAATCTGGGAGGCAGAGGTTAGAGTGAGGCGAGATCGTGCCACTGCACTCCAGCCTGGGCGATGAGAGCAAAACTCTGTCTCGAAAAAAAAAACCTATTCCCTTCAAGTGAGCTAAATCTCATAAAGAATGCTGTTCACTTCACACATTTAAAGAAAATCTTAAAGATTTATTAAAGACCCATATTTATTAACAAGTATCAGAGATATTGTCAAATATTAAAAAGACATGGCTGTTTTTCCTTTAAATTTTACTTTTTTGTGAGCCTGTTCAATTTTGACCTTTTTAAAAAAATTTGTTTTTAAATAACTTCCTTGAGAGCCAGTTATAGTTACTAAAATTTTTACCATGTCTGATATGCCAGTTATCCATATGCTATCTGCTGGAACTCTCACTAGGACAAAACACCACCATATAGTTTACTCTTTTAATTTATAGAACCCCATTCTTTCCTACCTTTCCCTCATCAATCTGAACAGAACTGTAACAGACTCTATGATCTGCAAGCAAAGAAGAGGGACCTGGGTTACTGGGAGAAAATCATTTAACATTTGAGGAGAGCAAAGTTACAACACAACAGACATTCCAGGACATATAAAAAATTACACTCAGGTTTCTGAGAAAGCTATGACAAAGAATTTATAGACCATTTCTTGATGTTCTAAAAGAAGGGTAACACCCCTCCACAACAAGCAGGGTTACGGGCAAGGTCTCCAACTGCTTTACTACACCAGGATCTAAAAACAACCCTAACACACAGAACTCAATACATCAAGAACGCACTCAACATCACCAAACAATTTATTTGGACTCAGAATTAAAAGGATATTTGACAGTCATGAAATGTATGTTTATTCTGAAACTTCTAACTAGTTGTATAACTAACCCATGACAAATTACCAGATTAATTTTACTTTACTTCTTCAGGCCGGGGGTTTATCAAAGACTTCAAATTTGGGATCTAAGAGGGAAAAAAAAAAAGGTTCAAGCTTAGCCATACTGGAATAAAATGGATTATGTAGAATGCTCAAGATTTAATTCATCAATCTTCTGATTTTTTTTAGTGAATATCTACTGTTTGTAAACATTTACATAGAAATATAGCTAAACATTTATGCAACACTTTCTATGAGCCATGCATTCCATTAATTGACTTTGCATATATTATGTCATTTAACTACATGTGCAGAAGATACTATAATTCTCCCCAAATATCAGATGAGAAATAGGCACCAGTTACTCAAGGTTACACAGTTGAAGAGTGACTGACAGGATTCAAGATCAGGCAGTTTGATTTCAAATCCCCACCATTTAATCACTATGTTATGTGATCTCCTATACTGCTCCTATTCTAATGGCAAACATTTAGCTGGCAGCTCAGGGACAGGTCATAGTCCTAATAAATTCACATTTAACACTGTCATTCAATTCTCTAAAAATCCAAGTAAGTGTAAATATTCTTCACTTATCCTCCACAAGAATGAATCTGTGATTTACAAGACTTACCTTCAAATTTGAAGGTGGGAAAGGTATTCATGTCTCCTTTACCAAACATTTGCTTGAGCTTAGAAACCTCCCTCTCTAGATCTTGCTGATACTCTGGACCAGTATCAACAGGTCCTCCAGCTGTCCTGTTAAATAAATGAGCAAATAAAAATTAATGCTATACACTAGCTTACAAAAACAAAATTACTCTTCACCATCACTTTCAATAGACCTTTTTTAAGCATTCATGTAATCGAAAAAAAGACTTCACAAAGAAGTATTTCCACTTCAATGTCAATTCCAATTCAAACTATTTTATTACAATGAGGTTTCACATAAATGAGCTAACCTCAAACAAATCTCTAACATTCAAGGTTTCTTAGTATCACAAACACTAAGTCAGATTTCTCAGGGTCTAAGTTGTGATTAAGGTGTATGGTCTACGGGCTCTGGAGTCAAAGACTAATTCCATCTGAGTGTAAGCTCAACTATTCAGCAACTGTGTAAACCTGAGCGAGGCACAGAGCACTCTAAATTTTAGTTTCTTCAACTAAAAATGAAGGTCCTACCAAACAAGGGTGTTAAATGCACACGTACCTCTAAGCACAGTGTCTGGGACACAGTGAGTGCTCAATTATTATTTACTAATATTGTCTGCTTTAAGTCAGCCACCACTAAATGGCTTTTAAAGACCTTAGTAACTTGAATTCTCTATAACAGGGGTCCTATTAAAGAAGCAAATTATTTCCTACCCTCAGAGATTTTGCAATTTAGAAGAAAAAAATTACATGTTCACAAACATTTATGCTGTAAAGGAGTGATATGATGAGCTTCAAAGATATGGTTTACCAAAAAGCTATTCAAGTTGAGGAGAGATCACTTTTGCTAAGCTAGTAAGGGAAATTTTCATTTTAAAAAGGTAGCGTTTGAGAAATACCAGACATTTGGGGCCACAGTTTATTTTGAGACCTTCTAAGACAGAAACAGCAAAGACGTGGAGGTGGTAAAGGACTGGCTAAATGTGAGGAATGCTAAGGAGTCTAGATGGAAAAACTGGCAGAACCCAGAGCATGGGAGGCCTGGAATGTTAAGCCTGGGAGTTTCTATTTTATTTGCTAAGTAATAAAATGGCATATTTAGACTTGTGCATTTTGGGAAAATAAATATAGCATCATGGACCAGCAGGGTCAATTGGGTCTAATTAATTCTTTGAAGAAATTCTTCTGTTTTTATCATAAATATTACTGCCTACCTAGCAATAAACAATATTCTAAACGTAAAATTGTACACGTGAAAATTCCTTCAAGGGTAGTAACATTTTCACACATGCCTATGATCAAAGTGTAGAGTCTTATGTAAGTTAAAGAACTTGCACAAAAAATACATAGGTGGCTCCAATGTAAGAACTTGTTAACAATGTTTCTTGTTAGAGACCCAATTTTCTTTTAGATTAGCACTGTCCAATAGAACATTGTGTCAAGTTAGAAATGCTGTCTGTGCTGTCCATATGGTAGCCACTAGCCATATCTGGTGGCTATTGAGCACTACAAATATAGCTAACATGAATGAGAACTGAATTTATACATATACTTAATTGTAACTAATTAGAATTTGAATAGTCTCATGGATAATGGCACCCAAAATGAACAGTGTGGTTTGAAACAGATTTTTCAACTAGATACTCTAATACTGGTTACTAATGGATGACAGCTATTTTAACTTTAATATGCACTTTTGTGATAAAAAGAGGCCAGAAATCATCTACCTCCTCAACTGAATGTTAAGTCTTGCTGCTTATCTTGTTTATTACTATATCCTTAGGCTCTCACATGGTGACTGGTACAAAGAAGTCACTCAGAAAACACTTGTTCATTTCACTAGCAAATACTGGGCATGCTAATGTATTGAATCATTAAAGTTTTATAATATCCTATGAAATGGGTTAAGTACTATCATCATCCCAATTTTACATATAAGGAAACTGTCCTACAGAAGTTAAACCCGCCCAAGGTCACAGGGCTAATTAGTGGCAATGCTGGATGCCAGCCCAGGGTCTATCCTCAGAACTCTCTGTATGTGTTTGCACAAATGAATGAATGACCCACAAACAAGACTCCTTAGATTTAGGGTACACCTAAGAATTAACTTCTTACTAGAAAGGCTTTTTAAGGATAGTTAAAATGCAAACAGTGTCAATATTATGATGTAACATCACATTTGGACAGAAGACACTCAAAATTCCCTGACGAGTCCTGCACATCTGATTACTTAACAGTATGATTTCTGGCAAATTCTAACTTTCAGCCCTGGTTTTCTCATATATAAAATTAGGGTAACATCTATAGGGTTGCTGTTAGTTTCATTACCATGTCTATAAAACACATAGTAACTTACTACATTTTAATTCCTTCACTATCTCTCCTCCTCAGTTTTAGCAATGGTGACACCTTTGTTAGTTACCTCGCCTCAAAAGTCAGTTTTCTTCTACTGTTCCCTCGCTTCTTCCTCTCCAGGAGCTCACCAAGACCAGTTATCAGTGTTTCAATGTCTCGACTCTGTCACTTTTACACCTTTTACATTACCACTGCTATAAAGTCAAGGTTCTCATCAACTAATGCTTAGGTTACATATTGCTAACATATCTTTGTTCTCTTCTCATTTCAATTCTTCTAATACCCTGGTTAAAATTATCCTCCTAATTCAGAGTAATCTTCTTCCATCCCCACAGTCATGTTCAAAAAGCTTTAATTTCTCACAAATGCCTACCACATATCTTAATTGTCCAGTCCACAATCAAGGCCTTCCATAATTCCTCATTCTAACCCCATACCATCCTTACACTCTTCATATACCCTATACTCCAGGGAAACTGAATTATATCATTCACCAAATATATTTTGTGCTTTCTAGTTTTCATGCCTTAGTTCACACCATTCTTTCCTCCTAAAAGATACTCTCTTCCTACTCTCATTTATCTGTCCAACCTTCATACACTGTTAGAATCTAGAGTAAACCCCTGGATATATACGTCTACTGAAGGCCTACGGGCTTGAGAACATTTCATGCTACAAGCAAAATCATGTGAGTAAACTCTTCACGTTTTTCTCTTTAAACTTAGAAGATGATCCACAGTTGTCCACGAGATTCTCAAGAGGGATGAACACCCAAACACTGCCTTCCAAGAAGCCTTCTAAAATACCTCTAGCTGGAACGAGTATTCTTTCCTATTAACTTCCCAAGCACTAAACGTTTCCCTATCTTAGCACCTAACTCATTTTACTTTATATTGTATTTATTTGCTTACAAGCTTTATGCTCTTACGAGACTTTAAGAATATTGTGGAAATGCCCTGTGGCCCACCACAGTTAATAGTAAAATGCTTTACACACAGTAGGCAACTAAATGAAAGAAAATGGAACTATGAATTGATGCACATCACTCTTAGTAAGATTTGGCCTTTGGACTTGAGGACGGCTAAGGTAGTCATTCATCTCCAAAATTATGTGGTTCTACAACTGTTTTTCTTGGACTTACATGTACATTACACCATTTCAGAGTCTTTTGACCTTTAATGTGTATTCTCAGAAATCTATAACTATGGAAATAACCTTTAAAAAAAAAAAAAAAAAGAGCTGTGTTTATACATTTCCCCCAAATTACGATATCACAGAAAGGCCACTAAATTAAGGGCTAAATATACTTTGATAATACGTTTTTCTTCAATTCGTTTTATGATCTTAGGCTAACCAGTATCTAAGAGATGTATTTTTAAAAAACTTGGCTGCTAAATGATTTACAAGACTCTATGTATTTGTATGAATTGACTTAGTTTATAATATATGACATTACGGTAAGGATATATTTTAAATGGCAACAGATTCAGATTTGCCCTTGTAACTCATAAAGAAGATACAGTTTACAACTTGAAAAAAATAAAGATCTTTATCTTCTTTTCTGAGGACACCAAGTGAACTTCTCTGTGTCAGAGAGGAGCTCAGTGAAGGTCTGACACTTTCAAATACCAAGTAATTTTTTATTACCATCTTGAAACTTACATAGTTTGAATATTTATATTTATACTGTAGCTGTTTATTCACTTACTGTCGCTTAGATTTGTATTCTCTTATCTTGTCCACAAAGAGTTTCTGTATAGGATCAAGTTCCTTATTAAATGCCACTGCTGTAACACCAATGTTCCTCCGCAAATGGACCGAGACTGCTGACTGAATGACAGAGGAGAACCTGAAGAGTCTCTGAAGAATCATGCTGATTCTATGTTACTGAAAACAAGCATCAGAAATGTTAATATACTTACTATAAATCACCTCTACATATATCACGAGAATCTAATTCTACTAATTGTTACAGAATTAAATCACATTAGATCTCAGTCTATACCTGACCACAGTTCCCTTCTCCTCCTTATTTCCCACTGCAAGTTTTTTAAGTCTTAACCAAAAGGCCTTGGGATCTAGGAACTGAGTTAGAAACTTAGGCCCGAAGCTTCATCAGGGTTAGGGCAGAAAGCACAAAATATAAGGTGAGGTATGTCTTCTCCCTTGAACTTAGTCTTGAATCACAGAAAACAGTACAGGTAGACTGTTAGAACACTGTCCTTTCCCAACAGGAAAAGCACACTGTCCCCCTAACTAATGTACCAGGTTTCCCATGCCTCAGGCAGGCATGATGACCTGAAAGTGTGTATTTCACAGGCCCACAGAGAGAGAAACTGCTCTGCCTGTTACAACAGGATTCCAGCCTTTTAAGAATACTGTGACAACTAAATCCAAGTCCAGAAGAACCAGGAAAGAAAAACAGCAACCAGTCCAAATAACCTGTGCATGACGGGGGGAAGATCCGGCAGTTCAGCTTTATCAGTGAAATAAATTAGTGAAGGAGATGGAAGTCTAAATTTTAAAAATAAGGACTTAAAGACTTCTAAGTCCCTAGACTTCATTAAGTTAAAATATGTTCTTTTCTAACTAAAAAATTTCAGTAAAGGACAATCCCTGTTGAGATTTACTTTAGCGATTTAAAGATCAAACACAAAAAACATTCCAAATTACATAGGTGCAAACAGGAATTCCAGAAGAAAAGGAATAAAGAGGGCCGGACGCGGCGGCTCATGCACAATCCCAGCACTTTGGGAGGCCAAGGCAGGTGGATCACTTGAGGTCAGAGGTTTGAGACCCGTTTGGCCAACATGGTGAAACCCTGTCTCTACTAAAAATACAAAAATGAATCGGGCATGGTAGGGCATGCATGTAATCGCAGCTACTTGGGAGGCTGAGGCAGGATAATTGCTTGACCCAGGAAGTGGAGGTTGCAGTAAGCCCAGATCACGCCACTGCACTCCAGCCTGGATGACAGAGCAAGACTCCATCTCAACAACAACAACAAAAAAAACGAAAAGGAATAAAGAGACCATAAAAAATTAGAAGAATGTATTTTTCTCAGATTAACGCCAAGTCCATAAACTGATAGGACTTGACAAAAGGCACCACAGTCTGGTAAAAAATTTTTTTTGAGACATGGTCTCACTCGGTTGCCCGGGCTGAACACAGTTGCCCAGACTTGGCCTCTTGACTCAAGCAATCCTTTCACCTTAGCCCCTTAAGTAGATTGGGAGCACAGCTGTGCGCCATCACACCAGGCTAATTTTTACTTTTATTTTTTTGTAAAGACAATGTCTTGCCATATTGCCCTGGCTGGTAAAATTTCTAAATATTTTAAGTGAAAACATGATATGCTAACATACTTCCCACGCTCTCCCCAATACAATACTAGTCTTCATCATATTGACACTGGACTTCTACTAAGTTATAATAGAACTAGTGGAAGTATACAAACTATGTTATTGGGCCTAAAGTAATACAGAAATTAGAAATAAGCATTTAGAGGCCAGACGTGGTGGCTCATGCCTATAATCCCAGCACTCTGGGAGGCCGAGATGGGCGAATCAGTGGGGCCAGGAGTTCGAGATCAGCCTGGTCAACATGGTGAAACCCCGTCTCTACTAAAAAAAAAAAAAACTAGCCAAAGCATGGTGGTGCACATCTGTTATTCCCAGCTACTCGGGAGGCTGAGGCAGGGGAATCACTTGAACCTGGGAGATGGAGGTTGCAGTGAGCAGGGATCATACCACTGCACTCCAGCCTGGCCTACAGAGTGAGACCCTCTCTCAAAAAACAACAACAACAACGAAAATTAGAAATAAGCATTTAGAAACTTATTTATAACAATTCAAGAGATAATTTGTTTGCTGAATTTAAAAATAAAACAATTAGAGCTTACGAGCCAGGTGTGGTGGCTCATGCCTGTAATCCCAGTACTGTGGGAAGCCCAGGAGGGAGGATTGTTTGAACTCAGGAGTTCAAGACCGGCCTGGGAAACATGGAGAGAACTTATCCTTAAAAAATGAGAGCTTGTATTTTAAGCGACTTCATTTTTTTGAAATTTCATTTCTTTTGTAATTCGTTTTTACTGTATTCAAGAGTGTCCACAAGAGTGGGTGGTGGGAATGGCCCTTTACTACTGAGGGTTTGAGAAGCATTAGCTAAGAAACTATAAAGTAGCACAATAGTTCTCAAAATAGGGTTGGGGGTAGGGAAGGAGTTGAGATGTTTCTCTCCAAGGAGACATCTGGCAATGTCTTTAGACATTTTTGGTTTTCTCACCAAGCTGAGTGCTACTTACTGGCCTATAATGCATATGAAGCCAGGAATGCTGCCAAACACTGTATAATGACAACAATAACAACAGCCCTCCCAACCCCCAAGAATTGTCTGATCCAAATGTCAGTAATGCCAAGGTTGACAAACTCTGGAATGGCGTGTAAAAATTATCAAAAGAAATCCTACAATGAGCCAGGCACAGTGGCTCATTCCTGGAATCCCAGCACTTTGCAAGGCCAAGGCAGGAGGATCACTTGAGCCCAGGAATTCAAGACCAGCCTGGGCAACATAGTGTGACCCCATCTCTAAAAAACAAACAAAAATATTAGCCAGGTATGGTGGTGGGTGCCTGTAGTCCCAGGTACTTGGGAGCCCGAGGCAGCAGGATCACTTGAGCTTGGGAGGTAGAGGCTCCAGTGAGCTGTGACTGCAGCACTGCATTCCAGCCTGGGTTACAGGGTGAAACCCTGAGGGAAGGGAAAGGGGAAGGGGTCCTACAATCAACACAATCAACAAAATACCCTTCACCTGACAAAATGAAAGCAAACTATTCGAAGAAATTAAAGAACTCATAACATATCACTTTTATACCCCATCAGGGAAAAACACTGGAGAAAAGGCTACAAGCAAACAACAAATGACCTCACAAGGTCATGTGCCACTTATTATCATTCCTATGTTTACACATACAGAAACTTGAGGATTAGAAGTATCTCCTCAAAGTTACACAGCAAAACCTAAAAACGCAAATATGTAAAACAAAAAATTGTGCAATTCAATGTCTACTTTCCCTTCTGGCAAACTAAGGACATGCTTAACATTCCACAATAAGTTCACCCAACAATAAGCTCAACCCTAGATACTTTCCAAAATATATATCCTCTCCTTGTACCCTTATGGGAATACTCTTAAAGAGTTAGAAGGAAGCGTTCTTATCTCTGCTTTACAGATCTATGTCTAAGAAAAGTTAAGCTGCACATATTCATACAGCTAATTTGCTTTAAGTCTGACTGCAGAGATGTTATTCCTGCTACAACATAGGTAAAATCCACTTTCATTGTTTCAATTATCTATCATCTAAGTGCCTATCATTCCCAAATCACATCTCTGATTTTGGTATTATTCCTGAACCCCAAATCTATACACTGTATTCAACAGTTCTCATCTTCCTTGTAAGTCCTACGAACTCATCCAAAAAATTAACACATAATCTCATACCAAAACTTGTTCCTTCTTTAATCCCTTTCATTTTTTTCACTGATTAGTGAATGCATATTGTCCAGTGACACGCAGAAGACAGTCATTACACAAACAGCTGTGGAATACCACCTGCCAGTACCATTGGGTGCCACGAGAGAATATGATAGCGTCTGACATGATCAGAAAGACTGGGGAAGGCAACAGCAAGAAAACACTACAGTCCGAGCAGAGGTCTTGTCGTGGGCGGGAGCAAGGTTGTCCTATTACGGTGATGACTGACAGGCCAAAGGTTAGTAGGTTCGCTGCCTCTTCAGGGCATGTTCTTAAGAACAATCCATAAAGCTGCCTAACGAAGTGTAAGCACCATCACCATCATCGTTTTTAGGTGGGATGCAAACTTTGAAGATTATGACTACTCTTTTCCCTCTTGTGGTGCACATTCTGCCTAAGGAGCTTAGACGGCTATGTGCGCCCGGGGCTGGCAGGCCTAGCCGAAAACCTCTCCCGCGCGCCTGACCTTGGGATGCCCCAGCCAGGATGCGGGCCCGAGACCCCCCAGCCTCCCTGCCTCCCGCGCCGCCCCGATTTGCCCCCAGAGAAAGTATCAGTCTTATTTCTAGGTCTAAGGCAAACTCCAAGGTCTAGAAGCGTAGAGGTCAGCTGTGACCCCAGGCCAGGCCGTGAATGTCCCCAGGACACAGAGCTGCTCTCTCCTTCCAGTAGAGCAAAGGTGAGAGGCAGCCCAGGCCTCGTTAAGAAACCCAGAACTGGAGTCCCAAGAGGCCACGCTGATCTAGCTACCCTCCCAGTCACCTTGCACTCAGTCCCAACTTGCCAAAGCCGCCGCCGCCGCCACCACCACCGTTCTACTTCCGGCCCTGGCTCCGCCCCCACACGCCTACCCGCCATCGCAATGCATTATGGGCCGCCGTTTCAGTCGGTCGACGCTCACCGGACAGGAAGCGTCTCGGAGACAGTCTGTGACCGGACGGCTCTAGGTGAAACAGAAGCCAAACAGGAGGAGGAAGTGGAGGGTAAGTGCTTCCGGGTCCCGTGGCGAAGACTCCGCCATCTTTCCTTCGCCGAATTTGACCCGTTCTCTTTCCCTCCTTGAAACCTTGCTCTGTACGCATGCGCACTTTGTCTAGCCTGTCCCCTAGTTCAAGCTCCCCTCCGAGTCAGCGTCCTGTTCCTTAGGGTTATCGAGGTGTATAATGGTGCAGGGAAAGTGAGACTGTGTAAAACAAAGCGGATTGGGGCGTTGTGCTTCCTTGTGCCTCGTGAGCCTGCGTTGCCTTGGGCGTTTGTTTCGCGTACCCTGCTGGGAGTTGTAGTCCTGGACCTGGAGGTGCCTGGGAGGCGGGAGGGGGGTTGGGGCTTCTCAGCGCCGATTCCGCGGGAAGGGCCCTGGGGCCTCACACTTCTAGTCGCGGGAGCTGAAGGTCTTACCCGGAGAGACGCAGCACGTGGAGCCTGTACCGCTGCCGTTCTCAGCCGGCTCTGGAGCGCGGGCGGGGGCGACAGGGCCGATTCCGGAGCGGGTGAGTGCGGCCGCCGGGGAGGAGGGGAGCGTGGGCCCGCCCGGGCCGGCCTCGTTCCGGGGCCTTTTCGCCCACAGCGGCCCCCCCGCGGCCGCCTCTGTGTTTTGTTTCCGCTGGTCCCCGGCGTTGTGACTCCCATTTCCGTTCGTGGAGACTTGAAGGAGCCGGGTGGGGAGGGGCGGGAGAGGTTGTGCGGGGAGCGAAGGAGAGGGGCGGGGGCGAGGGGCCGGGAGCTTCGGGGGACCGCGCGTCCCCGGTACCCGCGCCGGACGGGTCGCCTGTCACCTCTCCCTCCCTTCCCCGTCCCCTCCTCCCGCCCGCCTGCATTCCGCCGCAGCCTCAGACTGCTCAGCTGGGATGCGGTCCTAACACCCCCGGGATTTTAAGAGCAAGTTGCAGACCCTGTCTCATCGCGGTACTCAGCGATTCCCTCACTTCAAATCCACTCTTTCTAGAACGACACAGTTACACCAAAACCATTTATCAGTCTTTACGGAATCCATCAGGGTTTGTGTTTTGTTTTTAAGCGAGGACGTAAACCAGGGAAATAACAGTGGGTTAACGTAGCTTCCCTACTTTTTAAAGTGTTTTGTGTGCTAGAAGACACGCCGGGTGTGCGTGATTGGATTTAGAGACCCCAGTTTGATCAGGTTAGCGGCCGAGAGGACAGTGCCTAATATTGTGTTCCAAGATGATTAGATATTTAGAAATAAAATTCACTTCATAAGTAGTTTCCACTAATACCAGTAGGTCTTCCTCGTGAGAGGAGCAAAGATTTAGCCGGATTCCCTTGAGCGAATTGCAGAACAAGGCGGTGACAACATTCTTAGGTAGTGTTATCTTAACTTCAGAAGAAACTGCTCAGCTCTTTAGCAACTGCTTAATGGACTAGCCTGTCTCTCAGGGCTCCATCCAGGCTTTCCAAGCTTCTTTATATTTAGACATACACTGACGCTGGGTGGACTTAAGTCAGTTTTACCTGAATTGTGTATACAAGAGCATCTATCATGACGCATGTATAGTAATGAAGTAATTAAATCATGAGCTAGATGTTGGGTTGAAGCAAGTCATCGGACCGAGTACTAAATTAAAACGGTTGACTTTAGCTTTCCCTCAACTCTTTATATGTAAAACTCCAAACCTACAGAAAAATTGGGGGAAAAAAATCATACACTGAACACCCATATACCCTTCACCTGGGGGTCCCAACTGTTAATCTTTCACTATGTGTGCTTTCTCTCTTTAAATTAATAGATGTATATGCTTTGCTTTTTCTTAACTGCTACCTTTATTTTTGAAAATAAAAATGTCTTTTAATTTCCGTCATACGGAAAAGCATTTGATAACTTGGGAAAATGTGCAGTTGATCTCGCAGGTACCCCCACACTCCACTTAGTTTTATAATTACAATATATTGGGAAAAAATAAGCTCTGTAATTAATGCGCTCCAATGAATCCTCAAATAGGTTGACAGTTCTCAAATTTATCTGTAGTTTCATAAGGGAATGTTACACCTATCAGTATTTTAAAAGACACAAGCCGTTCCCAGAATTTTTCATTAAATTCAGCTTTAGTTTGTATCCCATCTTGTGAAACATTCCGAACCCGGTTGGATGGAATCTAGCAGTACCAAAGTGTCAATGAAAGTCTATGAAGTTGTTCTGTGCAATTCTGACGGGGGCAGCCGTTAGATGGAGAGACTGCAAGTAATTTTCTCTCAATTTTCCTAAGTATTGACATACAAACCTAGGGAATTGTTTTCAGAAAAAGATAAGACTTACTGAAAAACTCTCATGAAAGATTTGGACAGTTTCTCAAATCTCTGTTTTGCTTCTCTAGACTAAGCATAGAGAGCCGAGAGAGAAAAAGATCATTTAAGAGACTGGGTAATATTTTTTGAAAGATCATTTAAGAAACTGAGTAATATTTTTTTTCTCCAGAAGGGCATGGGTTTTTGTTTGGTTTGGTTTGGTTTTTTCTCTCTTTGGCACTTTCTAGGGATTGGTCTGTAAATTTTTTGAAAGGTCATTGGATAAATTTAACAACTTATTTTAGTGTTTATATTAGGGGTGCTGTTTTATAATCTTTAAAAAATTGGGAGTGGACCTCCTTATAAATCCTGAAAATAAATGATTTTTTAAGTGCTGTTCTGCTGTAAACCTGATTCTTACTTTTTTCTGTAGACAAGTTTTTTTATATTTTGTGTGGATATTATTTCCTTGTAACCAATACCAAATATGTTTTTTCCATGTTTTCTTTTATTAATATTTGTTTAACATAGACACTTGGATTGGCACCAGCTTCCAGCTGTCACCTACAAAACTGCCCTGAACATGATCAGTCAATCTTATTAACCAATTTGAGAAATTTTCTGGACTGCTTAGTTAAGGATGAAATTGCTGGGTTATAGATATAAGTATGATATTTTTCTCCAGAATATGTACGCCTGTGTATACCCCATCTACAAAGACAAAGGAATCTTTATGTCCCTGCTGACTGCTCTTGTTATTTAACTTTCTAACATTCTGTGTGTTGTCCCCCACCCCCTGCCACACATACGGTATAAAGTGGTAGTTTCTTGTTTTAAATTGCCGTTTTAAATGATTTGAATTTGGACATTTCTTTGTATCCTGCATTATTTTGGTTTCCCTTTATGTGAATATCCTTTTCCTATGCTTTGCCTACTTTTCTAATTTGTCCCTTTTTTGGGTATTAGAAAGATCTTGACAATTCCAAGCCTTCCATTGTCACTTTTGGGTATTAGAAATATCTTCCCATTCTGTAGCCTATCTGTTGAACATAAATCTTGATTTTTGTATAATCACATCCGTCAGTTTTTCTCCTTATGGTTATGTTCTTGGAATTTAAGAAATCCTTTTCTGTCCTGAGACCACAAAAACGTCTCCACCATTTTCTTCCGTTAGTTTTGTAGTTTCGCCCTTTATGTTTAATCTTTTAAGGCATCTGTAGTTCATTTTATATGGTTTGAAATAATTCTTATTAATTTATTCAACACATATTGGTGGAGTGCCCACTGAGGGTAGTACCGTTCAGAGTACTTTGTATATATCTGTGAACACATATTCCTGCGCTGTGAAGCTTATGTTGTCCTTCAAGGTAGATGCCTACTGGTTCACCACCTGTTTTCTTTAGCACTGAGGATGAATTCCACAGTTTTACACGTAGCACCAGTTAAGGAATAGGTTTTATTGGAGAAAGGGAAGGCTTATTAGGCCAGCATTAGCAAGAAAAAAAAAAAAAGAGGTTCTTCATTTTTTCATCATCCCCAAAAGAAGCCTGCTGGAGCTTGCGCAGTCGGCTTGATGGGCATGTGACCAGAGCCCGCGCAGTCTGCTTGATATGCATGTGAACGGAGCCTGCGCAGTCAGCTCGATACGCATGTTTTCATCCCAGTGGACAACGTTACCCTTTCATTGTTTGCCCTTAAAGGACAAGCCTGAGAGCAACCTTAATTATGTGGGAAAAGTTAGACCATTTTGAATCAGGCAGTCTAGATTTGGGTGCCAGCTATTTGTCACAAAACCAGCTACCCCATAGTTGAAGATATTGAGAACTGAGGAGAGTTATAGCGCTTTCTGAAGTGGGAAGTGAGACTTAGTTTCTTAATGCTAGTGTAACAAATTATGCAAATTTAGTGGCTTAAAAACACCACCAGTTTGTTATCTTACAGTTTTGAAAGTCAGAAATGTGAAATAGGTCTCTAGGCTAAAATGAGGTGTTGCCAGTGCTGTTTCTCTAGAGCCTTAGAGGGAGAATCTGTTCCTTGTCTAGCTTTCAGAAGCTACCTGCCTTCCTTAGCTTATAGCTCCTTTCCACCATCTTCAAAGCCAGTTGCAGCTGGCCAGCGAGTCCTCACATTGAATCACCCTGGCTCTCTCTTCCAGTTTCCTCTTCTGCTTTTAAGGACCTTTGTGGTTTCACTGGATCCACCTGGACAATCCAGAATAATCTCTCTGTTTTAAGGTCAGTTGATTGGTAACCTTAGTTCCATCTGCACTGGTAATTCCCCTTTGCTGTATAACTTAATGTAGTCACAGGTTCTGGGTCGTTATTCTGCCTACTACAAAGAGGTAAGGGATTTAGCCAGAGGTTATCTGGGGGAAGTAGGTTCCAGGGGACTGAACAGTGAGAGCAGAGCCACAAGGCAGAAAGATGTGAGGACAAGCAGGGGGGCCGTGTGGGAGAGGGAGTCACATTGAGAGTGGGGTTGGGATGGAGGTAGATCTAGCAGAGCCTCATGGTCTTTGTGAAGTATTTGGATTTTATTGTGACTGGCATATCAAAGGAGTGCTATTAACTAGCTTCAGTTTTTAACTTTTTGGAAACCACAGTGCTAGTGAGGATAGCTTCAATTTTATTTTATTATTTATTTATTTATTTTAAGAGACAGGATCTCACTTTTGCTCGGGAGGGTGTGCAGTGGCACGATCATCATTCACTGCAACCTTGACTCTTGGTCTCAAGTGATCTTCCCACTTCAGCCACCCTAGTAGCTAGGACTGCAGGTGCATACCACCATGCCTGGCTAATTTTAAAAAATGTTTTTATAGGAGACAGGTTCTTTTTATGTTGCCCAGTCTGGTCTTGAACTCCTGGGTTCAAGCAGTCCTCTCTTCTCAGTCTCCCAAAGTGTTGGAATTACAGGCACGAGCCACCATATCTGGCCCTAGCTTCAGTTTTAAAAACAAGCACACTCTAGCTGTTGTACTGACTGAGAATAGACTGTGGGGACAAGAGTGGACACAGGGACCTGTCTTAGGAGACTGTTGCAGTACTCCAGGTAAGGTGGTGGTGGCTGTTGTACTGGTATATGCAATACAGAGCCTATATTCGAACGACCATGGTTCATCCCCATTTGGAATGATACCTATTTAGGTTGATACACCAAAGGTGTGACATGGAGCCACAGGTGGTTTAGCCTCACCCCTGAATAGTGTTTGTATGAGATGGGGCTCAAAATAAGATTGCTCTGTGCAAGGCATTTGAAGGCAGTGTCTGATGCTCAATGAGTAATGGTTATTATTAATGCAAATTAATATTTAAAGTCTTCATTTCGTCAAATCTTGTAA